GACGAGTATACGTATACATGAAATTCCCTGAGTACTCGAGTGAGTAATATGAGTACTCACGCGGGGAAGTCGTACTCGCTTGATGAGTATTTTCACTAGGGTATGATTAGACCTTGAAAAAATGGTGATAAGGATGACCAATAGTTCCATAATGTAGTTGGAAATTTCTCTCTGAAAAAAAATCTTATTTAACTTTTAAGAATTTCAGTATAAATAAATTTATCTACTTTTTTAGTTCAGAGGTTTGTGGATGATATTGAATTTCTTGCATAGAGAGAGTATTATTTGAATTAATATCATTTTCAACATTTATTCCAACAGAAGATTGTCGTTGATTGATACTTTTTACGGTCTCTGGCCATATACTCAACCTACGATGTGCCGAAACCAATCCTATCATTGGTACTGTTTTTCGTGCTACTTCACGCTTCATTTCTTCTACATATATTTGTGTTCGATACGCAAAAAGAAACAAGGCTTGTACTATTTCTTCTATTATTTTATAGAAACAAATACTCAGACTCTAATCTGCATATTATTATTATTAGTAATTATTGTGAAATAAAAAAAGAACACAGACTTGTTTTTACAAGTACTACTCTCTCTCTCAAAGAAATTTTTTTTTTGTTGAAATCATCTAGATATTTATAGAATAGAATTGTTTCTAAATAAGCATTTATGCTTTTTATATTCATTGGAATAAGTATGGAGTTATATTAACTTGTTTAAAATGACAAAGAAAAAGTATATATTGATCAGATAAGATACGCAGCTTTATTAGTATTATATGAAAAATAATTCATTTTGATATTGAATACATATCAATATTCATTCGGAAATTATTCATGTCTAATGAAATGGGGGTGTGGGTGTGGGTGTGGGTGTGGGTCTTCTCTTGATGCACGCCCACACCCACACCCACGCCCACATCCACCCACACCCGGTTTGATCATATAACAAATGAATAAAATTTATTAGGAACTGAAAAGTTTTTGGCATTATCCTTCTAGAATTAAAATGTGACATTCCAAAAAGTCGCTTTCCAAGTAATAAGAAGTGTGTGATACGAGACATATGTCAATAGGTAGAGTCTGCTGAGATTAGAAAAAAATCTATAATGATTCGTACATGTGTTCTTCCTGAGATGAAAGATTTACAAGAAGACCAGATTCTTCTGAATCTTTTTTAAAATATGTACATTCGTTAAGGTTATTATGTTTCTAGATGAAACTTTTGGTGTATGATAATACTCATATGAATTCTTTATATGAGCAAAATTTCAAGTCAAAATGACGAAGTTACATTTATTATGACCAACCCTGCATTAGATTCACCGACAGTTGCGCGCGCGACACTTGCGCGCCGACACTTGCGCGCACGACATTTCCGCGCACGACACTTGCGCGCAACGATATTTTCGCGCACGAGACTTACGCGCGACATGAAAATTTTCTTCATGTTAACTTAATAATTCTTTCAAATTTTTCAACCATATTTATTGAAGTAATATTTATATGAAAAGCAAGAATTATTCAAGTAAAAAAAACATAAATAAATAACATTTTACAACTAACAANGATTAGGTGCTTAAGCTGCTGCTGTTTTCACACGTTATTTATTTTCCCCATTTACAAAGTGCTAATTCCACTTGTCTCATAAAAATGACATGTTGATGACCTTGATAACCAACTTCATGTTTAAAGACAAAAATGTTCAATGAGGTAAAAATAAAACTTAAATTTTCTTCTTCATAATTTTTGAAAATTGTTTTCAATTGGACGACTAGTTTAAAAATATATTTTGAAATAAGTATTACGATGAGCACAATCAAAAATTGTAGCAATTTCTTTGTCTTTTTTTAATTACTAAATTGAATTCATGTTATCCAACAACCAGGCATATACATAACAATAAACTAATTAGTAAAACGACAAAAACAACGAACACTAAAAGATTTTATATTTACTAAACAGTCAACATTATTTACGATAAAGGACGTTCTAAAAGTTATAGCCACTTATTAGATTCGATTGAGATAAAAATATTCTGAGGGTAACTTGAAAATTTCTAGTTTGTTAAATTTGTTCTACGTACGCGTAAATGAAAAAATACGAACATTCTTGTTGAATAAAAAAAGCTAAAGACATTTTCATTCAAGATAAGACAATCAAATTTGATTGATTGAAGAATTTATATTCTCTTTTGATCAGTACGAAAAGAATGCACGTTTTTCAGTAGTTCGAGTTGTTTATGTTGAACAGTTGATAGCTTATAGCTACTAAAAAAATTTATTAATAAGAATTAAAAATTAATGACGTATAGTCATTGTTCGAACAGATTCATCTTGTTCATTTCTTATTAGTTTTCTCATAATAAAAACATTAAATTTTAATAAAAGTCTTTTCAATTTTCGTCTAAATGAAGATGAAGTTGACAAATAAATATAAAATGATAAAGCTGTATTTTTCTATAATTTTTAATTATTAGAACCGATAGTTTTTCAAAAGTATTTATACCAAAATGTAGCCTGTTTAACAAAATACAAAGAGTGCCTTAAAATTTGTTTCCTCCACTTTAGATATAACTGAAATAATTCGAAACTAAATTGATATTCTTGAAAAAGAATAATAAACATAAAAAGAAAATCGATGATATTTTAAATCTATATGTTGAATAATCCATTTTCCAAAAATCTTATCATTGAAAATTGAATCCTATTGACTATAATGTATTTCAGTTGAAAAACTGATGAATTTAGATTAAAAACAAAATTCTTTTTTAATGGTCTCATCTCTACTGAATAGGTTTTTTAAACAATGAATATATATAAAACATTATCTAATAGAAATAATGATTATAAATAGTTAACATATGGAAATTGAATAGCCAATATTGACATTTCTGTTTTTGAAGTTGTAATATATTGAACAATTAAACGAAGGACAGCAAGTTGGACTAGGGTGTGGATGTTTTCTACTTTCACATACCCACACCCAAACTATGATGTCTAATATAAAAATCCGGCTCATTAGTTCATTTTGTGCTCATATTGACAATACTAGTGTCATACAATTTCGGAATCGAAGGAAATCAATAAAAATACGACACAAATGTTCTCTAGTCTCAGCTGTGGTGAATTAATTTTCACATTAGAGTAAAATGAATGCAGAAATTCTTTGAACAGCTTTAGATCAGCTAAAATCATCGAACTTTGAGACAACTATCAGCATAATAGTAATTCGAATCGAAGACGTTTTTGATGATTGTTTGTACAACGATATGCTTTTCACTCCTTATTTTCCAGGCTATGACTTAATGTAGTTTTAAGTTAATTCATCATCAAAATTTATGAAAATAAGAAACAAAAAACAGATCGCTGTACAAATAGTCACAGAAACTGTCACTGGTCCGAATGAGTGTTATGCAGATAGATGCCTCACAGCTCGATACTATTAGCTAATCATAAGTTATTTAAAACATGTTCACAGTCATTTAACTCTGTAATGGACATTAGTAAGTGAAAACGTGTAGGTGTGGGTTTGATTGTGAGTTTGAATCAAATACACCAATACCGACGTCCCATCACACTCTTTTATTTGGATAATTCTACAGAGTGAACAAGAAATATGATTGAAACTTCCATTTGTGTTTTCAACTTCTACTTATTAAAGTGGCAATGAATCAATAAGTCATCTCTCTTGGTTCTTTAGTTTAGATCTTGTTGAAATGATCTGAATTAATGAGTGTTGTTTCTGAAAAATTGTTTCTCTTTGACTTTGTGAAGATTGAAACGACGATTTTTCCTGAAATGAAACAATGTCTTAAGTTGGAGGCTATTGTGAAGCCCACGATAAAAATAGGTAAAAGAATGCGTTTCTATGCGGCTACATGTACACCGTTTACATTAATAAAGAAAGAAACTTTTTTTTAGAAAGACATACAAATCTCAAGAGGTTGATGTCAACAAATTTGTGTTTAACAAATACAGAATCGTTCTTCTATTATTTTTTTTCAGCGTAAAATGTGCGCATTTTAACGCATTTTAATGGGCTAAAGTGTACTCTTTTTACGTTTTCAAAAAAACAATATCTTGTTTGAAAAGAAAGCGAATCCGAAGACGATGAGGTGTATAAAAAAAAAATCATTTTTTTCTTTCTTTTTCATCGCAAAAAGCATACATTGTAGTGCTTTTTAACGAGTTAAAATAAGCTCTTGTCTGACCGGGTAAATATGATATTTGACAAATAACTGATTTGCGTGGTAACGTATCAAATTCATATTTAGCAATTTTTGCATAGACTCAAAACGTACAAACTTGTTGTGACTTTGCTTTTCTTAAGAATGCCGCCAGGTTTTGTTCTACGATTTTATTCGTTGACATTGAATGTTACTTAGAAAATTATGGAATTAAGATGAAATATACGGCTAACAGAAATAATTTTGCTAAGATCGTCGAATAAAAAAGCAATTTTAAAATCACTTTTTGACAAAATTTCACATAACTAAAATTAAATTCAGCAGGTCAAAATTCTTATTTTGCTAGGCTTTTTTCTACTAAACTATCTCGAAAGTATACTTCCGATGTGGTTAGAATGCCGAAGTGTCGAAAATGAGTACCCGATAGAGAAACATAACGAACCAAAAATATATATCACAACGATACCTGCAACGCTCTGAACCGCACCCTTTTACTTCATCTGTTGTTTTATTTGATCGAATGTTTGCCTTGTGTAAAACTATTTGTAGTGATAAGATGAACCAACGTGTTAGGATCAACAGAGGCATTTTAGGGATTTTCTATTGTTCTCTATCGAATTCATCAGTATAGATAGCTTCCTCTTATTTATTTCTCTGTGGGTCTGCTCGTTTTCACAAGATTGTGGATCATAAGTATTCAGGCAACATTGTTATTAATAGACAGTGTGATCTTTTTCTTTTAGAAAACAGTGTACTAATTAACACATTAACGACCATCATCTTCTATCAAACAGATACAGAGTATGGCAAGTGGAAAAGTTGCAAATGAAATTCGTGAACCACACTCGAGTCTTACCAAACCAGACTCATTGTTAACTAGGGTAATTCCTCATTTTATTGATTATTGCAATATCGATCAATTCAAAGAAACACCTGGAATGAAGTTGGAAGGCGTTACCATCTTTGGATACGATCAAAGGCGTAAATTTACTAAAAGCACCTGGTTAAATTCCGAAGATAGAAACGAAAGTGAAGACAAATTTCTTGGAGCTTTAGAGAAATCGGACAAGCAGAAAGTCACGGATAATAAATCATTAAGACTTGAGATGCAAAAATTATCGGGTGACAACAAAGTCAATCTTCAAATACAATATGACGGAGTATCCTATGCTCTCGTTACTTTACCAACTGGTTATAAATTTGGTAAAGCAAAACTGAAAGAGCTATTAAAAGAAAGTTTTAAGCAACAAATTAAAATTGAAATTGGAATCGACTAGAAGAATCTTGGTCAAAATGATGATAATTCAAGAAAGAAGTAACTATTTTTATGTAACATTTGAAAGAAAATACTCGTTGAAAAAAATACAAATTTGATGAACTTTTAAAACGGTAATTTTCTTGATTAATTGTAAGAAGTTTTTTTTTGTTTCATAGAGTTCAGAAAATGAATTCTATATTGTATTGTATCTTATTTTAAATAAAATATATACAGCACAAAGATACAGTGGTTTACTCTTTAAAATAATTCAGATATTCACCGAACCAAACAAGCCTTCGTTAATCTTCAAAACCTATTTCGATTTTCGGCAACTTTCTGACAAGTGTTGCTATAGACAAACTAAATCAACTGATAACTGTGTTTTTTTTATCTAACTCATCATAGTCTCTTATATATATTATTAATATCATTTTTCGATATCAGATCAAGAGTTTAACATTTCCAATGGTTACATATTTTTTTTAGGAAGCATTAATTGACTTCTATCGACAGCTCTGGAAAAATATGAGACAGTCTATTTCATGTAGTATTCAATGAAAAAGAAAAGATTTTAAATCAAATTTGGAGTTTGAACAAGTATCAAAAAAGAAAACAAAATGTAATTAGAAAGAAAAAAAGATCATCGATAGAGTAATAGAGTATCTTGTTTGTTTTAGGAAGACGCTTGCTATTACTTTAGTGTGAAATATTTTTTACTCTTTGAAGAGCATCTATTCCATTCTATCAGAAATCATAAACATATTTTGGATCCGTTTCAGTTAATAGAAACGCGAAGTTGATAATGGAAACTTAAACGAGAAAAATTCTGAAAAATACAACTAAGCAGTATCTACGACCTAACCTTGAGTCTGGACTCTCGAGATAATGAAAGTCGAAGAGCATACCATATACCCAGTATAAAATTCATTCAGTGTTTGATTCATCAGTTTTCTTAGGCAAGTTAAAATGAGTCAAGATTTTCGACTAGAAAAGACTTACAATAATGATCTTTCGTTTGGAATAGAAAAAAATGAAATAGAGGCGTCAGAATTATGGAGTCTATGACTATATTTAATGGGATCTTAGTTTTGATAGAATTTACCAGGTCTTGGCCCATGAAGTCGATGTAAACATACAATTTTCGAATTTTTTGAGTCCCTTTTAGATCTCATTATAGTTGGAACATGGATTGAAATACTGTTAAACTATTAGGATTATTTCTTAGTAGAAATGAAATTATCTCCACTATTCTGGAGTTCATTACATTCACGATTGCATCGGATTCTTAGTTAGTCAACGGATTCGATTCAATTGGAAACGACATAAAAATACGAAATGAAATTATCCAATGTTCCACATTATTCTATGTTATTGTAGAAAATTCCATTGTCTCTTTATTATCAATCATTTCCAATCTATATCAAACTTATTTTCGTACTAAACTACATAAATTCAGTCTCGACGTTCTCATTAGTGTATAAATCTTTTTGAATGAACAATTACCATAATTGAAATCAATTATATTGGCATGTATTAGTTCTCTAAATTTTAACCATCGATGAATGAATGAATATTTCTAATATATTACTTATGTCCTGAACTATTTTATATTGTCATCACTTATCAATTGAATTTGTATCTAATTGGTTATGTGATCAATGTTCGAGCTGTCGAAACATGTGGTGACGAAATTGTCTATAAATGTTTCTCTCTAACGAAAAATCATCTGTCAACAATGAACTGTGACATGTTTTTTCAATATGTGTAAAACCACCTATATAAATGAATACATTTGATGTATCAAGGCAATAACGTAAACATAATACAAATCCATTAATAGAATTTCTTAATATCATGTCAATGCAATGGTTGGTACTATTGACAATAGTTTCTTTACTACAACTTGGTACCAATAGTCCTATATGTAAGTAATCACGATGAAATCTGTAATTTATCTTCTCCTAGTGATGTTATTGTTGTCATCGAGCAACAGAAATATATAATTTGTGTATCGTTATAGAGTTTCCTAGTGGATTTCTGGTTGATAAAATTTGTTCTGTGATATCGTAGTTTCTACTCATATATATCCGTTTTATGTTTACAAAATATTATTTTTTATGATTCGAATCTTCCAACATTTCTGACGTCGCTCATTTTTATTTATGATGAGAAATAAATTTTCATGTTGTTCAATGTCAGATAATATATTTTCAATGTTTTATTTTTTGTATCTCAAGTTTCTTTCCCATCGGTATGCATAACACAGAACGAATTTTCGAGGCATATCTCAGCAGAAAATTAGAATTTTGAGTGTTTAGACTTTGTATTAAATTGACATATGTTTTTGTGCCAAAAAATTCTAGAATAACGTAATTCTCGTCTCAGAAAACGTTGATAAAATACGTCGTATGTGTAATACATGAATACAAGGGACTGAGAGGACGAAAAAATTCGAAGTCGAAAAGCTTCTAGTCATCTAGAAAGATAAGTAAATGTTCTTGTTTAATATTATTAATGTTTAGATCTACAAAAATTTCATTTTGAGGTCGGAATTGCATGTTTTAATATCATTTATAAGTACTACAATTATATAATTCATTTATTCTTCAATAGATTCGTCGAAACATATAGAAAATTTACCATCAAACACTCAATATATGGGTAACAATCGTTATGAGAATGCTTTTTTTTGTGTGTCGATAGAGAAACCGAAAGATTGGTATTCGATGAGTTTTGAGAAAATGTGCACTCTATTTGATCGCATTTCCATACCGCTTATGATTCTGAACAACAGATTAGAGTACGAATTTATCAAAACCTATGGAAAAAATTTAATACCTCTTTTCGGTTTCTTCAAGTATCGACCCGGAACGCTGAATAACAAAGGCAATATAGCTGTCATAGCCTCTGCTATTAAAAAGGAAATATTGCCGAATGTGAACAATACCTGCGATTACATGGAATTTTCCAAAAAGTTACTTCAAGGTTCACTCATCAAGGTGAACTTTGATGGTGATTGTCGTGAAATCAATCTGAATGGAGAACAATTCAGCATGCAAGCATTGACTGTGAAGATACTCCATTTTCCAACGGTTAATGAAACAGAATATGTCAAAGTTACGAACAATGGATATATTCTTAGTTTCACGCTTGGTTATTTGGACTACATTGGCAAGAACGAACTCGACAATATCATGTGCAGTCTCCAGTTTTCAAAATAATGAATATTATCCTCAAAGAATCTCTTCTCATTATAAATAAAATAACGTTTCGTTTTTTTTTGTATGTTTAAATAAAAACAATAGATATATGGCTCAGATTTTTTAAGAACTCTTCTAGTGTCGAAACATTCGAACACGTAAATTGTCGTCATGAGGGTGTGGATGTGAATGTTAGTGCTCTGTTCAACCATACTCACACTCGATGATGAGGAAATCTTATATGATTTTTAAGAAAAATGAGAACATCATCTGTTGTTTGATTAAATTCAGAAATCAAACTTCACTATCCATATTGATGAATATAATTTTTTGCTTACAATCTTTTCCCATAATTTACTAATGTGAAAACTTTTTTCTAATTAACGAATTTTTCGACATCGTTCTTCAATGATTTCTTTTTCAAAGTAATTAATTGTAGATTGAAAGCCAGAGATATCAACGATATAAACTTAGTAAGCTAAATTTATTCTATTTGACTTGTGATTTCGAGCAACACTTGAATAAAGAGGTGATGGCATCCTTATTTAGACTACAAAATCGAGCGAATTTAATGTCAAATAGTGTAATATATTTATCAACAAAAATCTACACTTAACGATATAAAAGGCATTAGCAGTGGCCGTTTTCGCTGTCAAAAAAAAATAGATGCATACAATTGAGCATTATTGTATTCATATGTGTAGTTTTCCACTAGTGATAGGATGTGGGGTGTGGGTATGGATCAAACTGACAGTAGTACCTATTCCCACACCGACACCCACACCAATACTTCAAGAAGTCTAGTTGATATCAATCTGAAACGCGTTATTAAAAAAAAAACGACCAATACAAAGAGTTAAAACTGCTAGAATTTTTGAAAAGAATATGTATCTGAATACTGTTGTCAGTATTTCAAATTGGAGAATCATTTGCTAAATATTCAGAAGCGTCGCTGAAATCTGTTTAGCAATTGTTTGATAGCCACTTTGCATGCTTGGCGAAATGATTTCGAGGCTAATGTATACAAGATAAATGTGATCTATATGAAGACAATAACAGAATTATAATTGCTTTCAAAACAACAAAGAGACATACCGATGCGTACGTAAAAAGTAGATTAAGGCCAATTCTACCAAGAAACAAAGTCATCATTTGTTGATTGATGTTCATCATGGCTTGAACACCTGCCGAGAATGAGTAGAGAGGAATAATCGACCAGATCGTGTTGAGCAGTAAATAGAAAGTAACTTGGAGGAGAGATAATCGAACAAGTTGAATATTTTTTTTTAGTCGACGGTATGAAGACTGTGCATTTGACATGACAATGGACTGTGCTTGATTACGACTGGTATTGGTCTCTGCTGGCTGAATCTGACGATTTAAGCGTGAACGCACATTGAACATGGTCAAAACACTGAATACACTCATGATAAGCATTGGAGTCATTGATGCGATAATATTTTCGATTGAGACGAAAAATTCATAAGTGGAACCAAACGGTGGTGTACATTCAACTGGATTGGTTTGATATCCAATAGGTGCATGCAGACTACTAATTGTAGAAAAACCTAGACCAATAATAATCAACCATCGAGCTATATGAGGTGAGCTCTGCTGACGAAGCCATACATTAGATGAAGTTACCATCCATCGATCGATTGAAATTAAACAGAGAAAATATCGTGACAAAAAAAGAGTAAATTCAGTTACATATGCACGTAATTTGCAGAAACTAGAAATGTATTGAAAAACATTGTCACCCGTTGAAGTAATAATAATACGAGAAACGCAGAATGAATCCAGCAGGAGGAGATGAGCT